GCCTTGAGGGACACCGCTTGCGACTCCGACCTCCTCCGACGCTTCCCCATTTATCATCACCCGTTGCTCTCGTCCTGCCAACCAGCTACTGATCCACTCACTCGTCCTACCCTGGATCCCGTGCGCCTCCAGTTTAACCCGCAACCTCTTGTGAGGAACGGTATCGAAAGCTTTCGCGAAATCTAAGTAGACGATGTCCACTGGATTCCCCTTATCCCTCTCTTCCGTCGCCCAGTCGTAGAATTCGAGCAAATTGGTGAGACAATTTCGACGCCTCCTAAAGCCGTGTTGATTTAAAGGAAAACGTTGTAAATAACGACTGCATAATCTAAACAACAAACAAGTTGAGGTCTTTGCGGAGTGTGCGGTGAACAGTTGTTGCTCTCGCACCTGTCTGACTCGACCTAAGGTGAATGGATTTCTTTGGACTTCGCTGAATCGCTGCACTTATGACGGCTATCGTCTCCGTTGTTCACACGGATGGTGTTCGATCGTGCTTCTTTGCAGTCACAGACCCTCCCTCCCTAAATTCGGCAACGTAGTGCTAAATAGTGAATATACTGGAAGCGTTTCGAGTCTGCAATTCTCTCATGAAAACGGTGATACAGTCACTATTGAGTGAGTTTTAAAATAAAGTTCCACCAGGAACCAACCAGGGATCCGCATGGTCAACCACTTAGCATTGTTTCACCTTCGATCTGCAGCGAAAAATGAAATAACTATTTACAACGTTTTCCTTTAAATCAACATTCTCATGGTCTCAAGATAAATGGATCCCCTCGCAATTAAGAACTTCATTTATTCCTATTTTAAGTTGAAATGCCTTGCTGCTTGTAAGAAGATTTTGATAAATGTATGCATTAGTTTTGTAAATGTGTCCTTGTGCATAAATGCTCATTTGTAAGACGATTTCAAGAGATTGCACGGTCCGCAAGACTGCATATAGGTATTTTTTTTACCCTAGCAGAGTGTAATGATCGTAATAATAATGATTAATTAGTACACTGATTCAACTGAATAATGTATTCTTTATCTTTAATTGTTCCTGAAGAAGAATGAGGAAATCACAGATTCCGCCCGCTTCGTCGGATGACTACATCTAGATACTGCATCAGGTTCGATTCCGGTTACATTTTTTCATGGTGAAAATGTTACCTCCTCTCTCTCTTACAGGAAAAAGATGACAAGTAGCTCGGCATCAGTTTTCTTCTGGAGTGGAGTTCTCTCGGATCACCGATTTATCCAATGAAATGATGACGATTGGCATGCTTTTGCACTTCACTTTTCCAGCCCGCTAATGCAAAATCCTAATCACCTCCAACGTCCGACGGTGGAAAATTTATGTCTTGATATCACCCAAACTCGAATGGAAATATGTGCTGATTTTGTTGGTTCGTGCAACTTCAATGAGAATTTGAACGAAGCCGGCGGGGAAGAATGGAGCAATCAAGACCGAGGCAGGATCATTTATTATGTAAGCAGTGTCGCGCCATAGATGCAGGGATCGGGAGTTTTAGGCCTTGGTCCTTCTTTCCATTAGCTCGTCGCCCTAATCCACCGCCGTGAAATTAAACGCTCCCCTTCCCACAGCCCTGACATTTGCGCCGGTTCCCATACCGAACGCTGCCGTCTCGTCCCGGCTCCCTTACATTCCATCGCTTTGCATCGAAGAAAATCCTCGTGTGAAATCACACGCGCCTACGGAAGTAGACCGAGAAGTGTGGGATTCACTTGCTTTCGTTCGCGAACTCGAATCCGGCCGGGAGAGAGAGGGAACGGAAGGAAGGCGTCCCTCGTCGTCTTCCTCGTCGTCGTCGTCGTCGTCGTCGTCCTCGTCATCGTCTGGAGATTCCTTCGACGTCGTCGTACCCTCGGTGATTTCCCTCGGTATCACACCGAGGGTCGTTTCGGCCAGTCTCCTCGTCTCGGCGATGTTCTCGATCACACAGCCTGGGCGAATCACGGGCATCGCTCGCTTCGACCCGATCGACTTCTTCGCTCTCTCCCGGATCGCCTGCAACGATCCGATGTCACACGATCTTCGTCTTCTCTCTCGCGAGGAAGGAAACGAACGAGGAGTGCGCATTAGACTCACCTTGAAGATCCTCCAATAGAGGAAGACCATGATGATGCAGGGGATGTAAAAGGAGGAGAGAGAGGAGTAGATAATGAAATCGGAATTATAGAAGGCGCAGATGGTTGGGTCTCGACTCGGAGTGTAGTTGAGCCCTAAGACGATCGGAGATCCGATTGCTGCTGAGATCACCCAGACTAGTGCGATAGTCATCACCACCCGACTGCTGTTCTTATGTTTTGCGTACTTGATCGGCTGCGTCACCGCTATATACCTGCAGGATTGTGCGACAGGGGAACGGACTTATGGTTTTCTCAATCATTTGATCCCTAGTGAGACATTATCTTCACCTTTCAAAAGCCGTTTGTTTGTATTGAATCCATCAGGCTCACTCAGATCACTCCAGGAAAAAATAAAATAAAATGCATCTTTCTCTCTTTTCATTTCTCTCGTTCCCTATATATATGCGCGAATGAACACGAGGATTGATACAATTTTCTTACGCTTTCAGACATTTTCTTTTCTGTAACAAATGACACTCAGTCTATCTCTTTTCTCGCGGACGGATCTCAATCTGTGTCGAGGAGAGGCATGCTGCAGACAGAGACAGAAGCCAAAAGGTGGAAGTTTTGGTAGAAAAAAAGTATACTCAGAGGGAAAGGTACCTGGTTGGCCACTTGCCAGGAGTCATTGTGAATTATCTCCGCTTTCCTTGCATGCAAATCCCTGGATCCGGGTACCAGGATTTATTAGTGTATGCACAAGTATGCACTCGCATTTAATATAAGCTCCAGCGAAATAATTAAGGAGAGCGATGGTCTATATCCAGGAGATTGATTCAATGTGATGACGGGATATCCAGGGGGAGGGAGGAAGATGAAGGGACAGAGAGCTCGCCAGCCACCCGAGCTGTCACAGCCTCATCTCCTGTTTGAAGAGGGCATGGGAAGACCCAGCCAATACTAACACTCTCATAATTGTGAGACCCCGGCATGTTCGAGAGGGTGTCTCGAGTGCAACCTGTCATTTCTCCCTTCCCTAGTTTATTTCCTTTTTTTTTCTTCTTCGTCTTTCCTTGGCACTGATAGGAGGACGAAGTTATTGCCAGATTTCTTCGTCGATCCTGGAACGAAACCTCGACACTTTCTGCATCTCGATCGCACTCCGGATCTTTGGCAATGTTCGAACCCAGCGGCCCGATGCAAACGGACTCCACAATTCAAAACAGATTAGTTTGGCGTGGTCATGCAAAAATAGGGGAGAAGCAGAGGGAAGGTTCAGAGGATGAGGGAATCCAAAGCTATTTTTTACCCTTTTCCATCCCGATACTTTGAGGAGCTCATTCTAGCGTTTCCCCCATCACTGGGAAGCTGATTACTTTTCTCTTCATCCCATTTCGTTTCCCCTCTCTCTTCCTGCCTTGTTTGGGAAGGAAATTTCACTCGTGATGGAACTCCGTGAAATAGATGATGAAACCTTTCAAAGAAAAAACCGTTGCGATCACGACAACCCTCTTTGCCCAGTGAATTTCTTTCACTCCCCATTTCCCTACGGATGGATAACTGGCCCCTACCCCCTCTTTGAAGAAGCCGACGTCGTGGCGAAAGAGGGATGGACTGACGACCTGAGATATGGAAGGGTCTCCTCGTTTATTCCACTTCCGTATATAGGAAGGGGGAGATAATGATTCAGTGCGGTCAATCGTAGAATGCCCTCGGGAACGCCCCGTATGATCTGTTCCCTTTCCCACTTCTCTTATATTATCTCCCTTCGTCTTCTTGTCTCTTTTCCTCTCTTCCAGTGCTCTCCAATCCTGAATATATGACTCAATATAGCTGCAATTTCACCGCGATCGCGTGCAGGTTCGGAGGCATATTAGAGGGACGCAAATAGGATGGAAGAGGCTCCACCTGTCTATGCTGATGGCGACGAGATTGAAGATTGAGGAAGTGCTGCATGTCACGTCCATAGCGATATAGAGATCACATAGGAACGGAGAAAGTCCCCACATCTTCCCGTTCACCTAATGGACAGATCGAAAGAGGAGGGAAAAGATTGAATAACATCCCGAAACAGAAAATGCAGAGATGATGCTCTCTCCCTGACGTCATGTGGAATCCGGATCAAACGGGAGATGGAATCATACCTTACCTGATGTCGTCCTTCTCCTTTTGAATCACTTCATAGGTTTTTCTGCAATTGCCTTCCCATCGACCTTTGACGTCAGGCCTCCGTCTATCCGTCTTTGCAATCCTCATCACAGTGAAGCATCATCGAGTGACAGGTAGGCCTTTACGAGTTCAAAGGCATATGCTCTCGTAGAACTAATGTATCGTGGGGGAAATCTCCGCCCCCAGCTAAGATTCTTGACATTGGCAAAGAAGAGCAGCTCGGAACAAAGGAAGGGATTTAAAGTTGAAGTTATCGGTTTGGAAAGAAAGGGAACCTGAATCTTCTCCAATCCCTGATCACGGAGTTCACGTCGCTGTCGCAAGACGCAACAGTAATGATAGAATCACAGCCAATTTGATTCGCATCGACGACTAACGACGAAAACCGCAGGACCGACTCTATATTGACTCTTTCCCAAGTGTGTTTTTCGGGTCCAAGTCTCCAGCATAGAGTGAATGTTTTCAAGGATCGAAGCAAAGGATATTCCTGGATGTTGGATAAACTTCGAAAAACTCATGAAGCCCTCCAGAGAAAACAGGCATATACAGCTCACATGATACCAGATACCTCGTTCTTGGGTTGCGTTTGATTTTCGGGAGGGGGTGGGTGGGTTTGGCCTTGAAGTACTGATAAATTAACAGATATATCGGATGCGCTAACTTATGTCCATACGCCATTATCTGTCGATGATTGACACCATGACAAAAGGAACGGTGATTCAAAAAAAGAACGATGTAGACGTATGCAGAACTAGTTTTATCATTGAGAGACTGCCAAATATAACCACGATTAAAAAGAACGACTAATATGTTCACGATCATGTAGTAGATACTGATTACTATCATTATACGCCTTGAATACCTTCTTCTAACCGAGATAGTGTCGACTGAAAATAGTGAAAAACATAGAGAGGACTAGAACAAGACCGTGACAGGAGTTTTTCATTCATTGACCTCATTATCGAACGAATGAAAAACTTATTCGTCATAATTCCACGACAGCGACGAAGCGACAAACCAACGACGGATAGTATGGGAAATTAATTCGTAGTTGAAAATGAAACAGAGGCCCGAGTGGAGGGGAATGACGCCAAGGAGCTTCGGGCTCGTCCGACTCCTCAATCCAGTCCTTTAATTTCTACCCTTTGTGAGTCGTGCAATGGATAAGTGCCTTTGTTTTCAGGAGTCTCCGCAAAGACGGCATCTGCACGCAACTCCGACCACGAGAAAGCTTTCCTTCGAGGAGCACAAACAATAGTGAAACCCATGAGCCATGGTCTTTGCGATCACGTGACGGCATGTCTGTTTTTTGTGGTGTTTAAGGTCAAGAAATTGTAGATCGGGTCGCCCGTGTAACAGGAGAAAAAAAGGCCAGATGATGCGCCTCTCGATGTTCCTCATACTCCATAAGGTCATCCATTACGTTGGTTCATTGAATATCATACGAGCCATAGTAAAATATGCTGACTGGTGCAAGCACAAGGGTTTCTCCTGAAGCGTGATTTGAATCCGTCTTGTCATTGTCAATGTCTTGTCGTTAGATGTGCCAACTTGGGCAGGTGTGCGACCGATTGCAAGCCATGCACAACAATGGGTTGGACTTTGAGGCGATATCTTTTCATCGCTGTTGAGGTCGAGGGAAAGTGTCGCTTTTTGAGGCCGACGATTACTGCCGCCGTCCCATTCTTAGTATCTTGAACGATGTTGGTGAACGTTACGTAAGTTACAGTGTAACACCAAGGTAATCGTACTGATCGACAATTTCCGCGTCAAGTTCCCCGAGTGAGTATGAGCTTTCTATGTGTTCTGCTGATTATCCTATGTGAATTTCGGCATTTTCGTTTTTGCAATGTTCGTCTGCAAGGAGTTCACGTTCGTCTATCCAAGATGAGCGTCTCACCCCGATTGTTGGTCGGCACGAGAGGGTGTGAAGAAGACAATATCGTCAGGGTATAATAACGATTGCATGCCAGCGTTGTTCTCCGCCATAAGAACCGCTGTGAAAAAGTCGGCTGAACTTCGACTTTTTAGGAAGCCGAACTGCTCGTCGATGAGGAAATGAGATATGTTTGCTACGATGCAATTCTTGATCAGACGGGTTAGTAGGAGAAAGAAACGGGAAACAGGATGAAGGCTCTGTAGCTAGTTGGTAGTCGTCTAAGGCTCTCTTTCCTTTGTGGAGGACGTGTATGATGCTGAGGAATAGATTGAAAAGCCTCATCTATGTAGGTGTCAGGATATCTGTTGAGCCTTTCGGGATTTCCTCGGTGATTTAATCGATATCAGGGGCCTTCCTATCTCGAGTCAAGCAAATCCCTTTCTTCACTTCTTCCTGTGTCTCTCATAGGATTCTTGAAGAACGAAAGTGTGCTAGCTGACATTATCGGGACGGTTACAGCAGGTGGCTATAAGACAAGCTGACAATTTCTGCAATAAAGACTGGGAATATTCATGCCTATACCTTTCCACATTGACTTCGATCCATATTTAATAAAAATTTCCTTTCTTCGTTCCTTCCTCTTTTTGTTCCTTAATATAATTTCCTCGTATAAAAGGACAGTGTGCATGTTAAGCAAAATTCTTCTTAGATCGTAAAAATTTTGCTTAGAAATTTCGTTGCTTTAGTTAGCTGTTCAATGGATAAAAAAAAATTATATGAGTTTAGCTAAAACTTTCAGACTTTTTTCGCTTAAATCGTTAAAAAAAAATCTACGCTAATTTGCTTATTGAATTGGAACTCGATCAAATAGCAATTTCTGTTAAGGAAACTTTATGAAATTGAGGGGAGAAAGTGCAGTTGCTAATCGTATTTCCACTGAAATTATTACATCAGACTGACCGATTTCAATGATAATACTGAACGCGACAAGGTTAACCTATCCCAGTCCCCCTCATCGAATTTTTCTCTATTCTGCACAAATGTACAATAGATTCGAAAAAAGAATCATCAAAGTTTCTTTACTGACTCCTGTTTTTTTACTTCCAATCGGCCACTTTTTTCACGAAATCGCTTTTATCCATCAAGACCGGTGGAAATCGAAGAGTCTGAACACTTGTATGAGCCACAGGCTCTTACGCTCTTTCCCGATTCGGATGCAGGAAGGAGAAAGCGACTGTCCAAGCGGGCAGGGACACGAATATCCCAGCCGTGCAGGAACCTATCTCTCCGTCGTCCAACATTATTAGCTTTCGTCAATTACTTTCTTTAGTTCTCGTTGTCGGGCATCATCCAAATGAGGATCATGTTCCCAACAACCTTGGGACAGTGCGGTCAAATGTCACTTCTAACTGAAATCATCATTGGGAAACCAAGTACGTTGAAAGATGCTCGCTCCTTGCTCCATGAGGAAATATTTTAAATCTGGAGTGATTCTTGTGCTTGCAGTCTTATTTACTTCGCGGATCGTTACTCTGATTCAGGCACTTCTTGGTAATGATCAGGGCCCAATTTCAGCTGGAGCTGTCCTGAGCACAGTTCAGAACCTCAAAGGAGTACAAGAGCTCAGCTCCTGCTCTCTGAAGTCTTGGATTTTATTATTTTACAATTGATGGTTTCAAAATATGTGATACAAAACTGACTTCTTGTATGTGCCCAGAAATGGAAATTTTAGTCAACCTTTGCACATAACAGAAACTCCAAGCCCAAGGGCTTCCTCAATTACGTACAGTAAATATACTATTTGCTCCGGTACCTCATTTCCAAGAAATTAAGCTCTATTTATGGTATTCCTAAACGCAATTTCTGGAGCTAGACAGGGAGTGATTACATTCTGGATGCAGTATCCTTCATTTAGGAAATTCGATTACGGTGAGATGGAAGCAATCAGAGGTACTCTTGCACATCATTGATGGAAAAGCACAGATAATTTAATGTCTGCACGGTTTTCCCTAATCCTAATTTCATTATCATTCTTCCTTCGCATCGATATCAATTACATCCTCTCTCGATTGCCTTCCTTTTCTTGCATTTACCTGGGACTCCTTCCAATCATCTTAGTGGATGGAAGGTCGAGGCAAAGGGGAGGGGGAGGGAAAAAGGGCGGGGAATTTCTCATTCCTCATTCCTCCGCCTCGAGACAGACAAGAGATGCATAAGGGAGTGGAGCGGGAAAAAATAGACAGCCTGCATAGCTCACACACCCGCCGGGCCTTTCGTCTTTCCGAGTTACCTGTATTCAGGGGGAATAGCTATGATTCAGGTATTACTCCCCTACATGGTCTACGCATTTCAGCTGGCTGCCGGCACTTCTTGTCGCCGACGACGAGACGTGCCTCATTTTCTCAGTCCATCCAGCGACTTCGCTGAGAGATGACGATATTGCACTTCTGTTAATGTCTCTCAGGTCACGTCAAGACATTGACGTCGTCACGAATGACGCCAGTAGTTCCACTGTTTCCTCAGCAACTGGCAATCGCTGTTAGCTTTTCTCACCTTACTTCCCAGTGAAATCGAAAAAACTGGATTTCCGGTAACCCCAGCCGGAGACTTTCTCTCCTGAAATTCTGCCCGTTGCGTGCGTTATCACAAGATGTCCTAGTGAGATTAGGGGGATACCTCATAGAGTCGATGAACATTTTACGTGAGACACTGAGTGAGTCCCAAAATGAAGTGAGTGCATTCGTTCGTAAGCTCAGGAAGGAATCCGAAGATTCACCTTTAGTGCGAGTCGTATCATACTTATCATCATGGCCTCAGTCGTAAAAGAGGTGCATCTATGAGCTGCATCCTCATACACACAAGTGAGCTAGGAGGTAGCCGTCTCCATGATAATTTGATCATGAAGAAAATTTTCATTTCTCTCCGTTGAGTTCCGAAATGACGTTTATGTCACTTCGGAACGCACTTACTCACCGATCCTAATGGAATTACTTACCGATCCTAACGAGGAGATCGTTAGCACATTGGCACGTACCAAGGACGGCACGAAAGCACGCCTTGCCTTGAAAGAAACCCGGTTTTTCGCTCTCTCCCTTTCCATGAAATGACTAACGATGGGATCGTAGATGGAGAAGTGCCGGGAGCGGATACAGCACTTGCAGTCTTCAGCAGACAGAAAAGAATTGCCCATCTTGAAACCGTGAGAAGGAGAAGTCTCTCGGTCTCTTCCCATCTCATTTATATTTCAATGCCGCTTTTCGTAGGTTCATTCATCACCACGGTCATGGGGGAAGAATAGATGTTGAAAGGAATGGATTTTCTCTCTTCCCAGGGAAGATGAGATTCAAATCTCCCGGATTCATGCGCTGACCCCGCAAAAAAGGGTCTGACCTTCTTCATGAATTGGGGTGTCTATGTCACGGCATGACCACTTTCTTTTGCCCCTAATTTCGCATTCATGGGAATATGCAAATACGCTAGACTCTAAGATGACTTCATTTTCTTCGTTGGCATCTTAATTGCCTCCTTTCGTGTTTATCCTGAGGGATAAGCTCGAGTCTACGCCGAGGTCCGTTACGAACTTTCTCAAACTTCTGATCTCTCCATTGACGCGTACTTTTTCCATATCAGCCCCGATTTCAAGTATTCCATCACGGAAATTGAGTTCCCCAGAACCAAGATTTTCTGCCCTCTGCCCCTCTTTATCCAAGAAGAAAATAATCATTTCTCCTCTCGCTTGGTTCGCTCTCTCTCTTATTGTCCCTTTAGCCTGACCTGGGCGAGCTTGATCGAGTTGGCTCATTCCTCAGGCTTCTAGGTTGATTGCAGGCGGTGCACACAAGAGAGACAAAGGACGTTCATCCTCTCCCGGATGATCACAGAACCGTGCATTGTCGCAGTGATTTTCATCTGATTCCTGGTAATGGAAACTCCTCCGGTATTCACTCAAGGTTTTCTCCCTGAAATACCTCTGTCTCTGTTAAATAATGGATATCTCTATCTATCCTTCTCCTCCTGGATTGATAAGGTTTCCGAATCACGAACCGCTTTTCCGCGGTCACGCGCTTTCCGGTCCTCTTTAGAGATTCAGTCGATTACGGACAATGCGTCGACCGAATTCAGGGAGGGCTTCGAAGACGCAGTCCGATGGCCTTCATGGGTTCTCCTAATAACCATCAGATGCACCGCATGCAGCCCCATTTTTCTTCCTTTTCCTTCTCCTCCCCCGCCGGACACGCAACGGCTTTTATAAAGGGATTTATCTCTTCTCGAATTACAGACTCGGTCTTTGTCATTTCGGGTAATTAGAAGTCACGTGAAAATCCCCCACTGTCTCAGTTTCGTGACCGACGTGGAATAAACTATTCCCTCCGGAGACATATCCCGTCGTAAACTTTAATTTTGCCATCGTCATCGTCAGCTCATTATTTTGTCCCTCCAACTCATCCCATCATCTACGATTCGACGAAAGTGCTTCAGCAGTCCATCCCGTCGAAAGAGTAGATTTTATCTTTTCGATCCAGTTAAAAAGAGCGCCAAGGAAGAAATTCTCGGTGTTGCGACGCTCGAAAATATATCGCAATTTCCTCTCGTCTACAGAGCTCTTGAAGTTGCGGGAGACCCCCGTGGTTCCACAGAATCTCTTCATGCGAAGTTCAGGCAAGGAAATGGGGGTAAAAAAGGGAGGTCGTATAATGGAATCCCTGCAGGGGGAATTCCGGGGCTTTCAGTCAATTAGAAGTGGATGGTGAAGGAGAATTCCCGAAGGGGGAAAGACGCGATAACTTGGGTAACGTGCTGTCCCCCGCCCCCCCCCCCCCCCCCCCCCCCCCCCCCCCTCCCCACCAACTGCTCTTATCTGATTGCATCTGTGAATATCATCTGATTATGGACCCAGATCCGGAAGGCGGGAGAGGAGGAATAATGTAAAAAAAGCAGGAGAGGTAAAAGAATAGGTTCTCTCAGGTCTTGTAACTCGGCTCTCGCTCATCACTTTCTTTTGTCTTCATTTTTTTTTCCCCCCCTGACTCGGTTTCGTGACACATCCACAGCCTCAGGGGAAATCACCAAGTATATATAACGCATTTTTTTTTCAGTTGCAGATGGACGAGAGAGGGGGTGGAAACTCACGAGGAAGTAGACACCGAAGGGCATGACGATGGCCGCAACGAGGAGATCAGCCACCGCCAAACTCACAATGAAGTAATTGGTCACTGTCTGTAGAGCCCGTTCTCGGGCCACACTCAGAATCACCAGCACGTTCCCAAACACTGTGATTACTGAGAACAACAACAGTAAGAGAAAGTAAAACTCTTTCTCGTTGAGTTCCTCGTCGATCGCGGTGATATTTTTTCCTAGGACCACAACCGTGACGTTGGTATCCGTCTCGTTTGAATACCCAGAAACGGTTTCGTTCTCCCAATACGGATCACGGTCCTGGTCGAAGTACGAGTCGACGTCTAGGTCGAGGTCGACGAAGGAACGATTCTTGAGTTCTTCCATGGCTCACCGAGCACGGAAAATCGGTAGGAATATGGCCTAGACCGTATGTGAAACGGGTGGCGTGGAATGTGCAGCACCGAAGAGGAAGCGTGCGGAGTGGAACGGGCCCGTCCGTGTTCGTTCGGTATATATCCAGCCCAAGCCCATGAGTGCATGTGCCATGCCGGCATTCTCTCGCATGCGCTCCACCTCTCTATTTCTCTCTCTCCGCCTCTCTTTCTTCCTTTTCCCTCTTTACGTCCATCGCAATTTACCCCATTTCCTCTTTAATGACCTCCTCATCGTCAATAGGCATCAAACGTTCCCAAACCGAAACCATTCTCAACACGCATCTCCCTGGGGCATGAGTAAGAATGGACGAGGGGTAAGGAGTACGAATCCCACGCCTTCTCACTTTCATTATATCTCTTCCAAAAGACGACGGAATTGCGATGAGGCGTGAATGTTAAGCAAAGATAATTTTTAGTGAGAGGAGATTAATGCATATATGGGAGTTCGGGAGGTTTTATGGGACATTCATGAAAAGCTGTTGAGCATAGAGTCTCTCTCTGTTTCCAACTTCCAGATGAGACCAGATGAGACCTGAGACCAGGACTGCTAAAAAAAAATGTAAGCGCTCAAAGACTTCTTTGCTCACCAGACTCACGGTTCACGGAAGGCTCTTCGATCAAAGAGGTGCCTGTGACAGGTCTTTATCCCCATTATCATTTTTCCACACACGTGAAGAAGATTTCATGCTTCGTTTCATGATTTCATCCCAAACAACTTCCGCTGATATGCCCTCAGCCCTGTGCGTTGTACACGGAGGCCGTCGAAAGAAAGAGGGAGAAGAGGACAGAGAGCCACGAGCAGGAGGGAGCAAAGGAAAAGAAAACGGAAGATTCCCGTTAAGGTAACGGGAGTGATGGGGAGTGATGGATGACCCCCTGACCTGTGCGAAGCTTCCATGCGATACTCCATAATCTCATTACATGCATATTATCGCGCAATGTGCCGTATGGAGCATGCCACGTACAAGCCTCGTATATCACGTTCTTTCTCTCGAAGTCTCTCGTCTCGATAGGGTTTGACTGGAGAGGGAGCAGCTGGAAAACGGCCAGGGTCACGGCCTTCGTTTCTGCCAAGAATCTCAATACACTTGGAATGGATGTATTCCTAATCTATCACATTTCTACACATCCTCTCCTATAGCGGACACGAGCAATTTACATAAATTACTAGTTTGTGGGGTTCTTCTTTCGGTGAAACGTTCCATGTTTCCCCATACGCGGTGAGTCATAAAAATGCAATATAGAGCAGGAAATCCGGAGGCCAACAGGACATGGCCATCTGGAGGTCAATATGATATGGTCATCCGGAGACCAATATGACATTAATGACGTAATAGTTATTAATATATCGTTCAGAAGCGGCGTAGGCAGCGATTTGTATAAGAACTCGGGGGGTCAGAGAACTGAGAACTACAATCCCCTCCCTTCTCTTTCCCCCTTCCCTCTCCTTCCCCTTCCCCCCCCCCCCCCTCCCCCTTCCCCCTCCTTCCCCCCCCCCCCCTCCAACTCGCCTCTAAAATAATAAAAGGTGAGAGCTATGACCATGGCTATTCTTCTTGAATCATTGAGCATCCAAACATGGATTCCATATAATATTGGGAAAGGTTATGCCCAAAGAGTATTGCTATCCTCTCCTTATGCATTTTGGAGACATGGCGAAAGCATCTTGCCTATCAATAATGAATCCATGAATCCATGAATCCACGAATGATCGTTCGGGACAAGGGTGACCCTCTTTTGCACTTACGGGTGGAACTTTCGTCTATCAAGTGTATACTTCCGTGTCGATCCTGCTTTCCATTTTCGGTCAGTTTTCACGGCTTCAACTGCAAGATATTTTACCGGGTGTTCGCGTGTTCTCTTTCACCTCTAGTACTTGATTCTGTGTACTTCTTTCAACCTTCCCCGAGGGGTCGATGGTGTCGAATGAAATTCCATATTTGGTATCATGGCAAAGGAAATTCCACTCTTCCAAAACCATTCTTTTTAGGAGTTCCCTTCATGTTGAACATCGGCATCGCAAGTCTGATCAACTTATCTCATGAAACCAGACATAGGGTTCTGATTATTCTTAATGTAACCGCTTGTCCATTCTTCCTGTCTCGTACACTTTAAGACGGTACGGGTTCACTAGGAGACTAATAATGAACTCTGTTCTTGAAGTTGAAGCCACTCTCTTTTCGGTTGAAGCTCCCTATCTCATTGGCCAAATCCGCAAATAAGGGTGAGCGCTTACCCAGGGGCATAAGGAAGAGGAAGAAAGGGTGATGAAAGGGTGAAGAAAGGCTTGCCTGAGGGGAAAGCAATCGGGAACGTCTGTCGGTCGGTAGAAATTGAAAGAAAACAAGGAAGAAATGAGGAAAACATGGCAGTCTTTTGCTGCGTCCCATTCCTCTGGGTTAAACCAACACGATGAGTTGCTGGCTGAAAAACCGTCGCATCGGTCATGATGAAGTCAGCAAGTGATTGCGATTGCGTAACAACTTGTGAAGTCCCTGAGCTCACCGAGACGACGAGATGCAATATGGCAGCTTTCTGAGACGCAGGTCTAAGCTGCGTCTCAGAAAACGGAGTAGGACTTCTTATCTCTAAGAAGCAGGTCCCATGACATGAGGGTGACGAGAGATGTATTCCCATGACAAACATTTATCCATATAATACCGCTGTTGGACACGCGCGAAGTGGATCCGGGTTAGAAACCGACCGAGTCGAGTAATTTCTATTCCCCTCGCATAATCCGGCGTGTTGAGAAAGGAAGACCCCTGAGCAAGGCCACCTCCCTCGTGGAAAGGGGGGAGGAGGGGGGGGGGGGAGTGATTTACATCCACTCAGACCCCGCTTAGCGCTCAGGATGCGTTCTTGGAAAGAGAGCGCTAACTGAAGCAGCGCTAAAAGGGGTCATTATACCATTGTATATATGGAAATGCGAATCAAGCTGTGAATATTCTGACTCATAACTATTGACTTGCACTTCGGATTTTTTCTTTTTATTTTGGTTTTCAGTAAAAAAATTTTTCTCTCCAGGATCAAGAGCGCTATAACGAAACAGCACTATAAGGGGCAGCGCTATAAGGGGTATTATCGTATCTTTATCAGGAAATAAAAAGGACCGAGCGCTCAGGATGGAGGGTAAACTCATTTAAAGTTCAGTCATTCGACCGGGTACTGGCATGTCTACGTAATAATATAGTTGTTGGCTTGTTTGTTTGTTCGGGAACCCCTCATCCGCCGATCGGATCCAAGAGAAATGGAGATCGATGGAAAGCTCAGACCTTCGGAATGTAGGGGAGGATGGGGCACCATGGGTCACTTTTTTGGTGGGCCCGCAAAATTTGGTCCTGCGTTTAAAGACTCGCATCACCTGCGCAATTCCGTGTTTCAAAGTTGTCAACCTACAAGTTTCGTGCGATAAAGTCGTATTTTAAAATGGGCACCTTGGGTCTGTGCCCGGGTAATGATGGGTCGGCCCCATCGCTAAAATGAAGTTCAGTTGACCCAAAGCCATCACAAAAAGAAGTATTCGCACCAGAGGAGAAGTTCTTGGATACTGATGCACTTCACCAAAGTTATCTGGAAAATTTGGGAACCTTAAATTCGGAAATAATGTACGATTCGTTTCACGTCCAAGAATATGACATCTGCTGGTGTTGAAACCTTCAGTCTTCCGCTCCTAATTGCGCGTTATTGGATCGGGAAAAGACTGCAAAGGAAATCCTGATCTGCATAGGCAACTATCAGGAAAGATTTGGCGCACTGAGTTATGAGCCATTGTGCTCCAACAAGAGCCATTGAAGTGAAATCAATATTACAACCAGAGTAAATTGAGGTTGTAGCTCATACGCGCAGGCATTGAACTACCGATCTCCCGAATCCAATTCCAGCAAGAATCAAGGCTTTCCATCAAAGGGAACAAATAGCAAAAATCGAGACGTCACTCAACGAAAACGAAAAAGTGTCTTCTACAGAAAAACGTGCACACAATGTGCACTTTTAGTGGGGACTATTCTTTTTTCAACTATACTTTCCTGGCAACTGAGCTGGAAAATATGTGGCTGACGACATGATGAGAAACAGAGCAAGGAGAGCTACTGTATAAACAGCCTGACCCATGGTACCCCGTGACCATGTGCCCCACTCTCCATCATCTCATGGCATTTGTGTCGCGTTGCGACTGAATTTGAGGGAGCTCCCTCTGATTAATGATCGCAAATCTCTCGTGCGACATGTATGTGGCCCAGTTCGAAGGGAGCTGACTCCAATGTTGAGGGATCCGTGTTCGAAACCGACCGAAAATGAGGACTTTTTTTCCTCTCGCAGACGCCCGCATGTTTGGTAAGAGAGACACAGAGCACGGTGTACTCCCGTCTCGAGATTTGGGATGTTAAAGAACTTCAATGGTGAGCGGCTAACCCGAGTCACGGTTCCACGAGTCATCCACGATCCTGTAATCACGAGAAACAGATTGGTTCTCTCAAGATTAGAGGTTAACCTCTAACCAGAGAGAGGTTATCCTAGAGGTTAACCTTCAACCTTGTACGTTTGGAATGCGGGCAAGAATAGGATCACGTCTTTGCTTGCTTACTTGCTTCAAAAAACTATTGTTGTAGCTCTTTGTGGCTAAATGCCTCCAGGTAAATGGACCAGTTTTTACTACGAAGGGAACACCGATAAGAGTAAGCGGGGGTGTGTGAGAATAGAGTTTCCACAGTTTCTTGGGTGTGAAAACGGGATTTCCAAATCCGAGGGGAAGGGGAAAAGGGGAGGGGGGGGGGGAATGTGAGCGGGAAAGGGGGAACGTGACGAGGAGAGGGAAGGGCGGATGGAAGGAAGGTGAGAGAAGGGAAAGGGGAGCTGGGGCGGCTCACCCATCTTCCCTGAGACAGAAAAGGACAGAGAGCTCAGGATGGAGGATCAAGCCCATCATAAAGTCAGGTCATTTGATCCAGTACT